AAAATAAAACATTCCTATAACTTCAGATACGTACATAAAGAATCCCCACACATTAGGTTAAAAAAAAAAATTAAAATCATTTGAGATAATGGCTAAAAGAACAGCCGAATGTTTTTACATACTTTGTGAACAGAAAAGAAAAAACTTGTATGAACGCAAGAAATGTTAAATAAAAAGCTTAACCGCAGTACTTTGTCAGTCGTCTTTAACAAAACATGTGTAAAAGAGGGTTTGATGAACACACACACACACACACACACATATATATATATATATATATATATATATTAGGATCGAAAAACAAGGAAAATTAGTATAAAAAAATTAATATTAGGAAAATTAGCATAAGGAAAAGTTTTTCATCACCAGTTGACTTAGACTTCCATCTTTTTGGCCCGATGAAGGTGGCACTGAGGGAAAAACCTTTTGATAGCTTTTTTTGGACACTGAGGTCAGCACCAGGCGGCGACAGTCTGTTTTAAGTTTGAACGCTGTCCTTAGGTCATACATATATCTTCAGGCTATACTTTACATAGCCTCTTTCTCCGATATCGAGCACTTTCATCCATAAATTTAGCATACCTTAAAACCCTGTTTCTCAACCGTAGTCCTTATAACTTTACTGGATGTCCACACAAAAAATAACAAACTGGTGGTCCACTGTGATATTTTAGTAGTCCGTAGAGCAATTTCGCTTGGGAACGGTTGCTACAACTGAAAATTGAAATTTCTGTAGTAATCTACGCCATATTAGAACAGTAAAAATAGAAAAAACGCCTAAAAAACTAGCAGAAAATGAGATCAAGTGATGTAAGTTAGCTTCCCTTTTACTATACCGGATGTTTTGATTGCAAAAGTTAAATAAAAACTGAGAATATATAAAGGAAGGATTATATATATATATATATATATATATATATATATATATATATATATATAAAAAAGATATATAAATATATAATCCTGTGTTCATATTTATATTTTTATTTTTTATTTTTACGAAACAGTGCTCAATTTAAATTTACAGAGCATAAATATTATAAATTAACTGATTTAAAATATGTTTTTTTTTTATTACACAGTAATAACCATGTTTCAAAAATGGAAATAAAAACTTTCGCTGGAAGATGAAACAGAAACTAATGATTTTAATTTAATTATATAATTAAATTTAAATTTTTTTTATTCCCTTTTGAAACATGGTTATTACTGTGTAGCGAAAAACCATATTTTAATTTCAATTAATTTATATATATATATATATATATATATATATATATATATATGTATGTGTGTGTATATATATATATATATATATATATATATATGTGTGTGTATATATATATATATATGTATGTGTTTTTTATATATATATATATATGTATATGTATATAAAGGAAAATTATATAAACATTATAAATTCATGATATAGATTAATTTAATAATAATTAAAAATAATATTAATTTTAAATATTGATAAAATAAAATATTAATATATTAATATAAATTAATTAATGTAGTAATAGACTCGACATTGGAAAAAAGGGTAATCTTCGACTATCGTGGACTTCGATGAAGCAGAATATAAAAAATCTAGCAGAGCAACATCAACCACAGCGATCTCATTGAATAAATCTGCACTTTTAAAAAAGATTATTAAGTACTCTGATATTTTCAAATTATCATGAGTTGTTTTACTAGTGTACACAAATGCCCTACAAGTTTATTTTCATTAAATTCGTTTTACTTCAAAATAAAGCATATACATTTAATATTTCTATAATATTATTCCTAAACTTATCTATTAGTAAAAAAATAAAATAAAATACGATCTATTTTCCTCGACCAAAACAAAATTAAAAGCAAAAGCCGTCCATGGGTAAAAAAAAAAAAAAAAAAAGGTTGAGAACCACTACCTTAAAACTACATTTTTATCACCCCGCCATATATACATATATATATATATATATATATATATATATATATATATATATATATGTGTGTGTGTGTGTGTGTGTGTGTGAGCTCTTCAGGGAGAAAAGTGAATTTGTAAACAGTGACTATTATTGCTGCTGATGCAAGACTCTTAGTTAAGATGAATCGAGTTCTCCGGTCACTGGCGTGATTATCTAAAAATAAATACGTCTAAATTCACCTTCATCCCCTGCCATGCTCCAATGTCCAATGGCTTAGGAGTAAAATCAGCCGTGTCTATCCACACTGATGAGATGTGAAACAGCAAGAAACAGTCAGTCTGTGAATGACAATATATATATATATATATATATATATATATATATATATATCTATCTATATGGCAACAAATTTTAAACAAATATCATTGAATAATATAGACATATGTCTTTATTTTTATACTGATTTTTCCTGTTCCCTAACCAATTTCTTGATGTTAAGATGAAATTCATCATGGAAGGCGGCGCCTTAGCTACAACGGATAAATTTCAAATTTTTAAAATAATTATAACGGAGTGCGTTCACACGTTTTTTTTTTTTTTTTTTTTTAAATCACCATCACAACGAAATGAAGATTTTATCACAGTTGCAAGTTTGTATTTGTAATTCATCCCTGAAGATGATCTTGAGGTGATCGAAAGTACTTGAGTAGGGAAAAAAATAAACAAAAGAACTACGGTACCTATATATATATATATATATATATATATATATATATATATGGAGGGTCCGGCTACGAAACTACGAGTCGGGATGGTAAAGTTAACACCAATCAAAATTTTACATTTATATTAATTCTCTCCTCTCTATCCCCTCTTTTTCTTTCTTTCCGCCATATATATATATATATATATATATATATATATATATATATATATATATATATATATGGTGGACTCACGCGTCGACTTCAAGAGTATGAGGACCCAAACTCTTCAGTTTCTAGAACTGAACAATCGCACTACCACGCACCATCCATATGACTGGATTCTAGTGGTGAAGGCTTATACAGAACCATCGTTACTATATTGTGCGATTAGGACCTCAAATAACCATCTTCAGGTTTTGAATTCAAAGTTGTTCCTCTCCTAAAGAGTTTGCCAACCGCGGCTAAAGAGACCATTCCTCTCTACTATTTGATCCCTAGCTGGGGGGACGGTTAGAAGAGACGTATCCATATCTTTACCAAAGGTATTTGCTCGACAGTGAATCTACCGAACTCGATTAAAATTCAGACACCGATCAATGATTTCTCCTTTTGAGTCGGTTGCCAACCGCACACACACACACACACACACACGCACACACATATATATATATATAAGTGAACATTGAAGTCAACACTCATAGGCCACTGGCTATTTCATGCTAGACGCAATCATCAGGCCACATATTTATCTATAATGTTCAGTGGGGCATTTTGGGTAGTCCATTCTCACTGTTATTTCGGCGGGAGTGGCAAAAATTCGACCTTTGAATAGCTACCTTCCGAGACCAAAACAAACTATTTAATAAGCGATCAGACCTCATTTTTTTACTACGTTACTAAAAAATCGGAACCGAAAAGAACAAATAAAAATATATAAAATAAATAAAAAATCAAGTAAAATAAATTAATCCAAATAAATAAACCAGCCACTCCCGCCAAAATAACAAGTTAGAATGGACTAGCCACAATACCCACTGATCCATATATATATATATATATATATATATATATATATATATATATAGTAAAGAAAAAATCAAACACCTGATGATTGCATCTAGCATGAAAACAGTTTGTCGCCTCTGAGTGTTGACTTCAATGTTCACTTTTATATATTAAAATTATATGTCTTCACACACACACACACACACACACACACACACACACACACACACACACACATATATATATCCTTGTGCAAATTAATTGAGACAAAACAAATAATTCTGTTATTATTTACTTTTTTGTATTTTTCCAATGAAACATGACTCAGTGCACATGTTAGTACTTCGTATGTCCATTCCACGAAGTCTTTCCTTGCAGATTGACCACAGATTCTCGATTGGATTTAAATCAGGAGATTTTTCGGCCCAGTCTATAGTACTTTGATTTGCTTACTGGTAAGGCTTGCCAATATATTCGTTCAGCGTGACAAATTTTCGTACGCCCCTTTGGAGTAACGTCCATCGCAGACAATGGCCGTAGGACAACTAATCGACAGTCGGGACAATAGTGTCTGGGCGTGATAAAAATCTGATGCAATCATAGATGACGCAATATTTTTCAAGTCCAAACAAATTTTATCATGAACCCTGAAAATAGATTCATATTACTGCACACCACTGCGAAAAACCTATCTGAAGAAAAAATAGAAATCGATTACAACCTGTCACTCCATTGGATCTAAAACTGACCGTATGGTGAAAGAAAGGAAACTGAAGCGGTTATTTCAATTAATTTGTACAAGGATGGATATATATATATATATATGTATATATATATATATATATATATATATATATATATATATATATATATATCCTCTTCGTTTCGTAAAATCCTCATTCACGTATAAATAAATGTTTACTCCAACTTCAAATGGATGCAAGAACAATTTATTTCAGGTTTCTTGCAAATTTGGGGGCGAATCAAAGGGAGGCCTTCAAATCAATTTTGACGCACATCTAGGAACGTGAAACAGTGGGGTTTTAGGCATGCGCGGTAATCTTATCTTTTTTTATTGCCATGTATTAAACTTCTCAACAACTTAAACATGCAATTTAATGAATCACACACATACTCTCTCTCTCTCTCTCTCTCTCACACACACACACACACACACACACACACATACAAGCGCATTCTTTCTTTCTCATCTGTTTACTAAGAGGGAAAATATTTCCAATCTATTCGATGACTTCCATCAAACCAATTCTGAACTTCCGCCATAAAAAAATTGACCGGAAATCACATAGCCAACATTCGCTTTTTATATTTACATCTTTTCGCTTTCTTTTTTCTGTGTTTCTTTTCAAAGCATCTCTTCTTTCTATCTTTCTTTCTATTCTTTTTTTATTGCTTTCTTCTTTCTTTCTTTCTTTCTTTCTTTCTTTCTTTCTTTCTTTCTATCAAGTATATTTCTTTCTTGTCTTTTCTCTCGCTTTTTCTCTTACACTTCTTTGTTTCTTTCTTTCCTTCTGTTAATCATATATCTTTCTTGTCTTACTTTGCCCTCTCTCTTTCTGTTACAGTTCTTTTTCTTTCTTTCTTTCTTTCTTTCTTTCTTTCTTTCTTTCTTTCTTTTAAAAACTTCCAATTTGACTTTGAAATCCCTCTTTTCTGTCGATTTCATTTTCCCGACATTTTCCCATTAAATTCCGTTTCTGTGTTTCTTTCATCCCGTTTTTCTGAAAGCACCACCACATTTTCCGTTCCTTTCCTATCAACAATAAACTTTTTCCTACTGCAATTTCTTGGACAAATTATAACCAATACAAAAGACAAAGAAATTTCGAAATTTCATCGTTCATTCTGACTCCCGACAAGATTACGACATCTCTTAAACAATTACTTGGTTTCTCAACCTCGACCCTTGTAATATTAACCCCTACCCGTGGCTGCCCGTTACTTCTCTCCCCTCTTCCTCTGTCCTTGCTATGACTGCTAGCTTCCTGCCCAGCCAAGATCTCAAAAAAGAAAAAGCTTTTAATTTTCTTCACTTTTCCCCTCTTTACTTTTAAATACGTTCTTCAATTCTCCTTGTTGTTGGGACTGTATTTTTTTTTAAAGCTTTCCTTCTTGTATATTCCCTTTCTTTGTTTTCTTTAACTTTTATTTATTTATTTTTGCCTCGATTTGATTTCAGGTTCACCCCGCTCTTTTCCTTAAGTCGTGGGCATTTGTTCACATGTGAAATTAAGCGTTTTTCAGCTATAAATACTGCCGTTATGTTTTTTTACGGAAGATTACAAGATCAGAATTAAACGGGACCCGGTTTTATTTTTTTCCTCTCCTACTTTAGCCAATTCGATTCTCTTCTTCATCTTTATTGTTGTTGTTGTTTTTCTTTCTTTCTTTCTTTTCTTTCTTTCTTTCTTTCTTTCTTTCTTTCTTTACTCATTTAAATTTTATTTCGTTTCCTGTTTGTTCTTATCTTTCATTCTTTACATCTGTAATCGTTGCCTCTTTCATTCTTTCGTTCATTCTTCCTTCTAGAATTCAACATTTTCTTCGTTGCCATTACAAGTCTTTCTTTTCTTTCTTTCTTTCTTTCTTTCTTTTACTTATTTTTGTCGCAAAATGTTATCTTTTTTTCTTTCTTACCAATTACAAGTTTTTTTCGCCATAACAACGATTTCTTTCTTTCTTTAGTTCGTTCTTTCTGTTTCATTTCTTTCTTTCTTTCATTCTTTCTTTCTCTTATTCTTTCTTTCTTTCTTCTTTTACTTATTTCTGTTGCAAATGTTATTGTCTTTTTTCTCTTTCTCCCCATTACATGTCTTTTCTTTCTTTCTTTCTTTCTTTCTTTCTTTCTTTCTTTCTTTCTTTCTTCGAAACTATCTTCATTGAATTTTCTGCTTTTCAAAACTTACTCTTTCTTTGCGTTCCTTTTAAAATAATTTCATTGATTGTTTTTAGTTGCTAACAAATTTTCCAGTTTTCTTATTTCGTTTTTCTTTTATTTATTTTTATTGCCAATTTCTGTTACGGATTCTTTCTCTTTCTTCCTATTACCACTCTTTTTTCATAAGGATTTTTCTTTCTTTCTTTCTTTTAATTCCTTCTGTTTCTTTTCTTTTTTGTTTCTTTTTTTATTTTACATTCCTCTTCTCTCTGTTACTTCTCTTTCTTTCCCTTCCTCCTTCTTCTTTCTTTCTTTTCTTTCTTTCTTTCTTTTTTCTTTTCTTTTCTTTTTTCTTTTCTTTTCTTTCTTTCTTTCTTTCTTTCTTTCTTTTCCATTGTTTTCTTTGAAATTTTCGTCATTGAATTTTTCTTCCTTTTAAAATTTCATTTATTTTTTTTTTACTTTTAAAAGTCTTTTTTCTTTTCTTTCGTCCATAATTTCATTCTTCATATTTATTATTATTATTAATATTATTGTTGTTGTTGTTGTTGCTGCTGTTATTATTATTATTATTATTATTATTTCACAGATCCCGCCTCTCCCCCCGATCCGTTCTCACGTCTCTTTTCTCCGTATCGGTCGCTCGCTTCACTCACCTATCGCCTTTGTCATGCGACCCTGGCAATTTGTGCACCCGTCCCCTCCAGTTCCGACTTATTTTTCGCTGTCGACTCCACCTTTTCGGTGGGGCGTTGGATCTCCACCCTATTCTTAGTGGCCAGCCTTTTTCTTCAAACCTCACTGTCAGTTTCCTTTTCCTCAACCCTCTAGAGCACCCCCACCCCAAAGTTGGGCCTATCGTCAGCTTTCATGTCACCCGCCTTCGCTTTTATCAGCCGCTATTATTTGGGGCGGGTAGTTCGGAGCGTATGGCATTTTGGGAGCGAGACAGTATTGAAGTAGGAGGTGAAAGAGATCGTTACTGGTGAGGACCTCGCGTAGGCCCTGTCAGCAAGAAGGCAAGGTAACTTTACACATTTAATAAACAGAGAAGACAAGGGTCAGACTGAAGAAAAAAAATTCTTTAAAAATAGTTTAAGCAGATGTAATATTTAATCCATTGAGGTAGTTGTAAATACGGAGTAATCATTTTGATATTCAAAGAAATTGCATCGTCTAGACTAGAAGACCAGATCTAGTATTAATAATAAAAAAAAAGGAGAAACTTAGCCGAAGCTTCAGTTATGCTGTCCCAGCAAATCACAGAGTAAAAAAGAAAAGAAAGGAAAAAAAGAAGAAAAAAAAAAAAAAAAGAAAGAAAGAAAAAAAAAACGAATAAAAAAATGAAAGAAAAACAACTTGAAAAATATGAAAAACTTAAAATATGAACAAAATGAAAAAATGTAAAACATTAATGTAATAGTTGTACCTATTGCACTGGCAACTCTCCCAGAGAATCTAGTAAAATAATAATAATGAAAACGTACAGTAGTAAGACAAACGAGAACACTGCTAAAAACTAAAAACTAAAAACTGGATTACATGTGTGTGTACTGAGAAAAGTAATGGTATACCGAGGAGAGGTTGGTGCACTGAGGAAAATATTGGTTTACTGATGAGAGTGTCAGTGGGCTGAGGAAAGTGTTGGTATACCGAGGAGTGTGTTGGTTTACTGATGAGAGTGTCAGTGGGCTGAGGAAAGTGTTGGTACACCGAGGAGAGTGTTGGTGTACCGAGGAAAGTGTTGGTGTACCGAGGAAAGTGACTGTATACCGAAGAGAGTGTTGGTGTACTGAGAAAAGTGTTGGTGTACTGATGAGAGTGTGAGTGGGCTGAGGAAAGTGTTGGTATACCGAGGCAAGTGTTGGTATACCGAGGCAAGTGTTGGGTTACGGATGAGAGTGTCAGTGGGCTGAGGAAAGTGTTGGTACACTGAGGAGAGTGTTGGTGTACAGAGGAAAGTGTTGGTGTACCGAGGAAAGTGTTTGTGTACCGAGGAAAGTGACTGTATACCGAAGAGAGTGTTGGTGTACTGAGAAAAGTGTTGGTGTACTGATGAGTGTGTGAGTGGGCTGAGGAAAGTGTTGGTATACCGAGGAGAGTGTTGGTTTACTGATGAGAGTGTCAGTGGGCTGAGGAAAGTGTTGGTACACCGAGGAGAGTGTTGGTGTACCAAGGAAAGTGTTGGTGTACCGAGGAAAGTGATTGTATACCGAAGAGAGTGTGGTGTACTGAGGAAATTGTTGGTGTACTGATGAGAGTGTGGTGGGCTGAGGAAAGTGTTGGTATACCGAGGAGAGTGTTGGGTTACGGATGAGAGTGTCAGTGGGCTGAGGAAAGTGTTGGTACACCGAGGAGAGTGTTGGTGTACCGAGGAAAGTGATTGTATACCGAAGAGAGTGTTGGTGTACTGAGAAAAGTGTTGTGTACTGATGAGTGTGTGAGGGTTGAGGAAAGTGTTGGTATACTGAGGAGAGTGTTGGTGTACTGATGAGAGTGTCAGTGGGCTGAGGAAAGTGTTGGTACACTGAGGAGAGTGTTGGTGTACCAAGGAAAGTGTTGGTATACTGAGGAAAGTGATTGTATACCGAAGAGAGTGTGGTGTACTGAGGAAATTGTTGGTGTACTGATGAGAGTGTGAGTGGGCTGAGGAAAGTGTTGGTATACCGAGGAGAGTGTTGGTTTACTGATGAGAGTGTCAGTGGGCTGAGGAAAGTGTTGGTACACCGAGGAGAGTGTTGGTGTACCGAGGAAAGTGTTTGTGTACCGAGGAAAGTGACTGTATACCGAAGAGAGTTGGTGTACTGAGAAAAGTGTTGGTGTACTGATGAGTGTGGGAGTGGGCTGAGGTAAAGGCAAGTGTTGGTATACCAAGGCAAGTGTTGGTTTACTGATGAGAGTGTCAATGGGCTGAGGAAAGTGTTGGTACACCGGGAGAGTGTTGGTGTACCAGAGGAAAGTGTTGTACTGTGTGTTTGTGTACCGAGGAAAGTGATTGTATACCGAAGAGAGTGTTGGTGTACTGAGAAAATTGTTGGTGTACTGATGAGTGTGTGAGTGGGCTGAGGAAAGTGTTGGTATACCGAGGAGAGTGTTGGGTTACGGATGAGAGTGTCAATGGGCTGAGGAAAGTGTTGGTACACCGAGGAGAGTGTTGGTGTACCGAGGAAAGTGTTGGTGTACCGAGGAAAGTGATTGTATACCGAAGAGAGTGTTGGTGTACTGAGGAAATTGTTGGTGTACTGATGAGTGTGTGAGTGGGCTGAGGAAAGTGTTGGTATACCGAGGGAGAGTGTTGGTTTACTGATGAGAGTGTCAGTGGGCTGAGGAGTGTTGGTACACCGAGGAGAGTGTTGGTGTACCAAGGAAAGTGTTGGTGTACCGAGGAAAGTGATTGTATACCGAAGAGAGTGTGGTGTACTGAGGAAATTGTTGGTGTACTGATGAGAGTGTGAGTGGGCTGAGGAAAGTGTTGGTATACCGAGGAGAGTGTTGGGTTACGGATGAGAGTGTCAGTGGGCTGAGGAAAGTGTTGGTACACCGAGGAGAGTGTTGGTGTACCGAGGAAAGTGTTGGTGTACCGAGGAAAGTGATTGTATACCGAAGAGAGTGTTGGTGTACTGAGAAAAGTGTTGGTGTACTGATGAGTGTGTGAGTGGGCTGAGGAAAGTGTTGGTATACCGAGGAGAGTTTTGGTTTACTGATGAGAGTGTCAGTGGGCTGAGGAAAGTGTTGGTACACCGAGGAGAGTGTTGGTGTACCGAGGAAAGTGTTGGTGTACCGAGGAAAGTGATTGTATACCGAAGAGAGTGTTGGTGTACTGAGAAAAGTGTTGGTGTACTGATGAGAGTGTCAGTGGGCTGAGGAAAGTGTTGGTACACCGAGGAGAGTTTTGTTGATGAGAGTGTACCGAGGGAAAGTGTTGGTACACTGAGGAGAGTGTTGGTGTACCGAGGAAAGTGATTGTATACCGAAGAAAGTGTGTGGTGTACTGAAGAAAGTGTTGGTGTACTGATGAGAGTGTGAGTGGACTGCGGAAAGTGTTGGTACACCGAGGAGAGTGTTGGTGTACCGAGGAAAGTGTTGGTGTACCGAGGAAAGTGATTGTATACCGAAGAGAGTGTGGTGTACTGAGGAAAGTGTTGGTGTACTGATGAGAGTGTGAGTGGACTGCGGAAAGTGTTGGTACACCGAGGAGAGTGTTGGTGTACCGAGGAAAGTGTTGGTGTACCGAGGAAAGTGATTGTATACCGAAGAGAGTGTTGGTGTACTGAGAAAAGTGTTGGTGTACTGATGAGTGTGTGAGTGGGCTGAGGAAAGTGTTGGTATACCGAGGAGAGTGTTGGTTTACTGATGAGAGTGTCAGTGGGCTGAGGAAAGTGTTGGTACACCGAGGAGAGTGTTGGTGTACCGAGGAAAGTGTTGGTGTACCGAGGAAAGTGATTGTATACCGAAGTGAGTGTTGGTGTACTGAGGAAAGTGTTGGTGTACTGATGAGAGTGTGAGTGGGCTGAGGAAAGTGTTGGTACACCGAGGAGAGTGTTGGTGTACCGAGGAAAGTGTTGGTGTACCGAGGAAAGTGATTGTATGCCGAAGAGAGTGTTGGTGTACTGAGAAAAGTGTTGGTGTACTGATGAGAGTGTGAGTGGGCTGAGGAAAGTGTTGGTACACCGAGGAGAGTGTTGGTGTACCGAGGAAAGTGTTGGTGTACCGAGGAAAGTGATTGTATACCGAAGAGAGTGTGGTGTACTGACGAAAGTGTTGGTGTACTGATGAGAATGTGAGTGGACTGCGGAAAGTGTTGGTACACCGAGGAGAGTGTTGGTGTACCGAGGAAAGTGTTGGTGTACCGAGGAAAGTGATTGTATGCCGAAGAGAGTTTTGGTGTACTGAGAAAAGTGTTGGTGTACTGATGAGAGTGTGAGTGGGCTGCGGAAAGTGTTGGTATACCGAGGAGAGTGTTGGTTTACTGATGAGAGTGTCAGTGGGCTGAGGAAAGTGTTGTTACACCGAGGAGAGTGTTGGTGTACCGAGGAAAGTGTTGGTGTACCGAGGAAAGTGATTGTATACCGAAGAGAGTGTTGGTGTACTGAGGAAAGTGTTGGTATACCGAGGAGAGTGTTGGTGTGCTGATGAGAGTTTCGGTGAGCTGAGGAAAGTTTTGATATGCCGAGGTGAGAGCTGGTAAACTGAGGAAAGATGATGTATCGAGGAAAATGTTGGTGTACGGTGGAAAGTGTTGGTGTACTGATGAGAGTGTCGCTGGGTTGAGAAAAATGCTGGTATGCCGAGGAGAGTGTCGGTTTGCTCAGTTTCGTATCGCAAACAAAGCCATTTTTAAGGAAAGCGTAGATATATGATTCTATGACTTTTGAAATAGACATATCTGCTCAGTTTCGTGTCCTAACATAAACAAAATATTTTTAGGTTAGGGATGGATTTATGATTCTCTGACACTTGAAATAGACATATCTGCTCAGTTTCGTGTCCTAACACAAACAAAGCCATTTGTAAGGAAAGGGATGGATTTATGATTCTCTGAATCTTGACATAGACATATCCGCTCAGTTTCGTTGCTAACGTAAACACTGGAAATTATAAAGAAAGAAATGGATTTTTTTCTTTATTAATCTGGAAGGTTTTAACAAGTTCAACGGTCTTCTTAGTGGGCACATATTTTTCTCTACTAAGATTTCTCGAATATTCTGGCTGGTAGACGAAAAGAAAAAGAATAAACTGCTGAATAAATAAACGTGAGCGTTTACTGAATTACGAATATTCACTAAAAAGTAAAAAAATTCAAGTCATAAAAATCTATCGGAGTAATAAACGAAAAATCCATTTCTTTGTTTACACATTGCTTTGTTTATTTTGGGACACGAAATTGAACAGATATGCTTTTTTCAGAGAAAAGAATCGTGTTTAAAGTCTCTTCAGTTTTACTTCGTCATCAACACACCCTGTAGCCAAGAGGTGACGTCAAAGCACGTCACACACACACACACGCGCACACCCACCCACCCACACACACACATATATATCCCAGTAAAATGAGATCAAATGGAGTATAATTCAAGTGTACGTAACATTTATTTCAAATGAGGGCTCAATACAGAGTAGAGCTAAATATTATTTATTTTAGGATATTAAAACATGTTCCAAATCGCTGCATAATGGCAATTATTTTACGACATTACAAATGTGTCTCTTTGGGCGATGTTAACCTATTGGCGAGGGAAAGATCAATTTAATTTCAAAAGCAGTCCTGCTTTTGAAATCAAATTAATTACAACATTCATTGTTATTTTAAGACATTTTTTTATGTTTATACGTTGTTTTTATAGATACAAATATTTAAGTAAATGCTCTGTTTATAATAAACAGTATTAACGACATTTACCGGCCTGAATGTCCGAGAAATTTTCATAGAAAATATGCGTCTTCCGATAGGATTCGAACATGTATCCTATACGGAACCGTCATATAGCCTGACGTGCTTTTACCGATTGAGCCACAGAGGAGAGTTTCGGTTAGCAAGGTCGATTTTACTGTTTTTAAACTACATTTCTCCATGATTTTCTCTCGTGCATTTATATCTGCTCGATGCGTATCCAAATGGAAACAAATGACGTCACAAATTATGAAATGGACATCCTTGTGCAAATCAATTGAAACAAAACGAATAATTCTGCTATTATTTACTTTTTCCTATTTTTGCAATGAATCATGACCCAGTGCATATGTTAGTACTTCGTATGTCCATTCCATGAAGCCATTCCTTGCAGATTGACCACAGATTCTCAATTGGATTTAAATCAAGAGAGTTTCCGGCCCAGTCTATAGTACTTTGATTTGCTCACTGGTAAGGCTTGCCAGTGTGTTCGTGCAGCGTTTCACTTTTCGTATGCCACCTTGGAGTAATGTCCAATAGTGTGTGGACGTGATAAAAATCTGATGCAATCATGCGTGACGCAATATTTTTCAAGGCCAAACAAATTTCATCATACAACCCGAAAATAGATTCATATTACTGCACACCTCTGCAAATGACCTAATCTGAGGTAAAAATAGAAATTGATTACACCCTGTCACTCCAGTGTGTCTAAAACTCATCACACGGTGAAAGAAAGGAAACTAAAGCGGTTATTTCAATTAATTTTCACGAGGATGTAAGTATGTTCTTTTCATTTGAAAACAGAGAACCAATTTCTTGACGTGTGGAAATAACTGTCAACAAAAAACGAAGATAAAGGTAACAACGAAGATCTCATGTCAGTATGTAAACAATATACGGTTCAAGCAGTTGGACATTAAGAAAATTACTGGTAAAAGAAAAGAAAGAGATTGCATGTCCACTTGACTATAAGCAGCATTAAATGTCAGCTGGAAATAATATACGACATCATCATCATCATCTTGCGGCCTCAGCCGAGATTGAACTCACTACACCTTTCCAGTATTCCTTATCTGTCATAGCTAATACTTTGATTGGTGTAGTTCATAATCTTGTCAAATAGCTGAATTCTTGATGCTTCGCTAGGGCTATCAAGGGTGTTTTTATCGTGACACCATCACTAAATGGATTGCCAACCAAGGCTCAGAGAGACTCCATTCACCCTCCTCTAAGAGCAGGTTTGAATTCAGAGTTTTCCTTCTCCTAGACCAGTTGCCAACCAAGGTTATAGAACCCAGTCTGTCGTGCTATTTACCCATAGCTGGAGGGAGAAGAAGAGGATTCACATCTTTCCCAAGGGTGTTAGCACGTAAGTGAATGTAATGGATTCGACTGGAATTCGAACTCGGCTCTCCGATTCCTCAATTCAAGCCGCTATCCATTACTCCACCGTGCTTCTATACGACAAATGAAGAACTATATAAGGGAATCTAACAGAACCTCACCTTCTAATCTTCGATCCAAATTATGGGAAAAATTCAAGAGGCAGACCTTCATCGATCAATTCGTCGTCGGCACCAGAACCAGAAAAGAACAGGGCAGAGATGTAGAAAAATAAATCTTTGCAAAGAACTGGTCAGAATTGCCTGTTTGAGAATGGTAAAAAAAAACAACAACAACAAAAAAAAACCCCATTTATTTCGACATTAATCTTATTTGGTCTCCTTCTACGATCTTCCGCCATCTTTCAGTCAACTTCATAATTCCATCCTCCCATTGATTTTTATCTGTCCCAGCAAAGGGCTGCTCTAGATAAAGTAGGGAGGCTATATCGAATCGTCACGTCTACTACAAGAAAAGCTGGTTCACTCTGACGTGACAGAAAGTTTTTTTTTTCTCGTTTTCTTGTTTATAAATCTATCCTTCGTCCGTGCATTGAATACTGCTGCCATATCCAGTCTGGTGCTCCTGCTGTACATCACGTGATTCTTGATAAAATTCAAAGAAGGATCTGTAATGTAATCGACCCTGAGCAGGCATCTCGACTTCCGTCACTTTCTCACTGACGTGACATGTCTTCCCTCTGTCTTTTCTACGAATATTTTGATGGCAACTGTTCCGATAAGCGTTTTTACATGGTCCCCCAATAACATAAATTTAAGCATGTTACTAGATAAACAACTGCGTTTCACCTTTTACTGTTCAACGAGTGAGATGCAACAGCCATTTTTACTATAGCAGTTTTTTTTTCTCGAATTTCTCACGTGTGGAACTCTCTTCTGACTTCCCTGATAACTGCAATCTTCAAAAATTTGAATGCAACGTTAATTATCATATTCTGTTCCTTTTTTGTCCTTTTCTCAATTCTCCACACTAACGTCTTCTCATTTTGTTTCACTTCCTGTGTTTTAGTGGCATTATCGCCTTGCTTGCATTATCGCCTTGAAAAAAAAAAAAAAAAAAAAAAAAAAGAAAAAAAAAAAGAAGCATTTTGTAGTATTCCGGAGATTAAACCATCAGACACAAATTAATATCGCAAATGGCGTCCAAATTATGGGTAAAGATCAAAGAAGCAGACCAACAGGAGCATTGTCGACCAATTCATTGTCAACACCAGAAGCAGAACGGATAGAATGGGTAGAGTTATGGATGGCAGAAATGGCCGGAAAGAAGTCATCGAAGAGTTCGTTCGAGGCCGGCAAGATAGATAGATAGATAGATAGATAGATAGATAATAATGAAGAATTGAGAGATAGACAGATAGATACATAGATAATGAGGTACCGAGGAGAGACAGATAGATAATGATGTATTGAGGATAGTTAGACAATGAAGACTTGAGCATAGATAGATCAGTATATATATATATATATATATATATATATATATATATATATATATATAACCAAAGTATATGATTGGTGTATACGGAATAAATTCCAATAACCAACAATTACTATTCTTAAAAAGAGTGCTCAATACAGAGTAGAGCGAATATAATTATTTATTTAAAAATTATAACATAAATATATTTATAAAATCACTAAAAATAGCCATTTTGTTTCAAAACCTCTGGTGTCTTATCCAGTGATGATGTTGAATGTAGATTGTAGAATAGAATCAAGAATCTATTCTACATTCAATATCATCAGTTGATAAGACACCAGAGGTGTCGAAACAAAATGGCTATTTTGTAGTTTTTATAACATATTTATGTTATAATTTTTAAATAAATAATATATATATATATATATATATATATATATATATATATATATATATATATATAAAAAGAAAGAACAGTAAGATATATAATCCGGTGTTCTTATAGATATTTTATTTTTACAAAATAGTGCTCAATGTAAATTTACAGAGCATTAATCTTATAAATTAATTGATTTAAAATATGTTTTTTTCCGCTACACAGTTCTAACCATATTTCAAATATATATATATATATATATATATATATATATATATAGAGAGAGAGAGAGAGAGAGATAGATAGATAGATAGATAGATAGATAGATAGATAATGAAGAATTGAGGAGATATAGATAGATAGATACAAAGAAAATGAAGTACTGAGGATAGACAGATAGATAATGAAGTATTGAGCATAGATAGATCAATATATATATATATATATATATATATATATATATATATATATATATGTATATATATATAATGTAGTATTGAGGATAGATAGATAGATAGATAATGAAGTATTTGTTCATAGTGAAGTATTGAGGATAAATAGATAATGAAAAATTAAGGATAGGTAGATGGGTAGATAGATAGTTAATGAAGAATTGTGGATAGATAATGAATTATTGAGGATAGATAGTGAAGTATTGAGAATACACACACACATATATATCCTCATTACTTCACTATATATATATATATATATATATATATATATATATATATATATATATATATATACATATGTATGTATAGAGAGTGAGAGAGAGAGAGAGAGAGAGATAGGGAAGAATTGAGGGTAGATATATAGATAATGTGTGTGTTATGGTAAATAATTGAAAGACGGAAAAGTATATTGACGCGTTTCCTTTCGAAAAGGAACTTCTTCAGACAACGTAACAATTTTATTGATGGTACCAATCCTACACACGATCATTGTGAGCATGAGTCACTTAACCCATTAGTGGCAGCAGGTGTGTCTAAGGCAAGGTAATCTGAGACCAAAAACTGCGTATTGCTGACGCTCTTTTCTTTAACCCATTGACTTTTCAAACACGAAATAAGTCGAATTTAGCAGTTTTTCATTATGACGCCGATCTCTAGCGACCTTTTCACCAAGGCTTCAACAACGACGTTTTTGTTGTTTTAAAAAACGCAATCTAGTACTCGTCCGTGTGTTTTCGAGTCCTTGTGGGTGATAAATTATTTTCCACCTTCTAATCTCCCACAGTCGAGATGTTGTGAGCCTCTCGTTGCTCTATCGCTACTACCGTGGAAAGTGCTCGGACGAAATACATTCCTTGATTTCGCCAGTCTTATCATTAACGGCTAGGACTCACCATGCTACTTACATTATAGTAAACCACTCTAGTTCCCTTCATATTCCATCTTTGAGAAGCACGTCTCATTCAAACAGCTACGGCCTGTGAACCACTACCGAGGATGTTTCCCCGATCATTACAATCTTAACCTGTTCAAGTCTTGGGTTATCCGATATTTTCCTCTACTATCCATATAAAATGCCTCTTAATGAAACTGTTATAACCTAAGGAAGGTTACTGAATAGAATAATCAAACGAAAGTTGGAAATGAACGATAATACTTAGAAAAAGAACAACACATATAAGATTCGCCAGCGGCGCGTAGAAATAGTAGTCAACTGCTAGAAGCGAGTCAAGTGAATTCCACAATAAATCTCCAACTGCTGGATCCACACAGTCTGATGTGGCACAAGGCCGAATTTAATGTGGGGTATCCGAGCCCGTAGGCTCGGCCAAAATTTCCCCGTAGACCCCGTATAAAACGGGGCAGGGTAGCTGTTTCCCCGAGATGAGACTCTGCTCTTCGTCTAGGGAGACAGAGAGTGTGACAAGCACAGCTGGAGACGAATCTCCAACTGCAGGATATCTACCAACCGCCTCACGCGGTCAGATGTGGTACAAGGCCGAATCTAATGTGGGGTATCCGAGCCCGTAGACTCGGCCCCAAATCCCTCGTAGACCCCATATAAAATGTTGTCTGGTAGCTGTTTCCCGAGACTAGGCTTTGTCGAAGGGCAGAGTCTCGTCTGGGGATTCTCTCTACTCGGAGGCAGAGAGCTTGACGAATCGCCAATCCAGAGCAACATACAGTATTTACTGCTGTATCTATGTAAATGGTGACATACCCATTATCGTCCGTAGGTATGCTACAACAGTAACCCTTTACTTCGACTGGCCCCTGGCTTTACTGTCAAAAAAAAAAAAAAAAGCTAGAAATGAAAAATCGTACTGCCAACTAAAAACAAAGATTATTGAAAATATAACACATAAAGTAATTATTTGAATAAAAAAACAAATTTTTATAGCCTAATTTTACAACTATAAAGATGGCGTTTGAAATAATCGACCTATGGTAGTCGACGTGTTAGGGTAGTGTTGAAAGTTAACGTTTTGATTTTGTCATTATTGTCTTTTCGAGTTACATCTGCTATGCATTTCAATTGTTGCTGCTGTTGGAAGTCTTCGTGGTGTGATTCCTGTTACTTGATAAACTTTCTTTGTGATTCAGACAATCTGATAAATTATAGTCTCCTTCAAGACCTGCAGGGTGCATTCATTCGAGAATATTTTTAATCATTCATCTGAGAAAAAAATGTATATATATTGAGAAATATAAATTGCATGCGACAAAATAACGAAATAAGGGACAGGTAGGAAAACCTTTGTAAATTTGACATGTTTAGCTAATTTTATTTTAGCTTCACCAGAAAGTTCCTCCGACCATCAAAAATCTACAATCAAATTAGCGAAAAGTGTCAAATTTATAAAGGTTTTCCTATTTATTCCTTTTATATATATATATATATATATATATATATATATATATATATATATGTTTATATATATATATATATATATATATAATATTTTTTGTTAAAAAATATGATTCCTTCGTTACATAAGAGTTCTCATGTTTCAAAACGAACTATTTGGATGATTTCAGCTCTCGTTTTTGAAACATGAGAACTCTTATGTAGCGAAGGAATCATATTTTTAAACAAAAAAAATATTATTATAATAAAGCTCTACTTCTGTATGGAGCACTGTCTTAAAAATAAAAACAAATATACTAAGGAACTCCGGATTATGCACCCAACGTGTTCTTTTCTATTTTCTGCATACCCGCGCACTTATATATATATATATATATATATATATATTCTTTTTATAAACATAAAAATGTCTTAAAATAATTGTCGGACTTTGTCCATTTCATAATGTGTAACGTCATTTGTTTACATTTGATACGCTATGACCAGATATGACTGTACATGAGAGATTCATAGAAGATTGAAGTTTAAAGACAGTATATTCGGCTTTGCTAACCGAACGTTCCTTCGTGGCCAAATCGGTCAGGTCAGGCTAAATGACGGTTCTGTATAGGATACAGGTTCGAATCCTGTCGGAGGACGAATATTTTCTCTGAAAATTTCTCGGACATTCAGGCCGGTAAATGTTGTTTAATACTGTTTATTATAAACAGAGCATTTACTTAAATATTTGTATCTATAAAAAGAATGTGTAAACATAAAAATAATTATCGGACATTGTCCATTTCATAATATATATATATATATATATATATATATATATATAATTTCAAGAGGATAGAATCCAGGTCGAACTTAATGTCCAGGACAGAGTAAGAATATAATAAAAAATAGTGTTTAAGCCATTTTATTATATATATATAGTGTTTAAGCCTTATTATTATTATTTTATTTATATATATATATATATATATATATATATATATATATATATATATATGCCGTAAAAAAATTTTTTTTCTGGTGAAAACTGGAAAATGAATTGCCCGATATCGGATTACTTATCAACAAAGGCTCTCCGATAATGATCGAAGAGTTTTCGTTGACGATGCTGTGACTATATATATGCATTCTGTTTTTTGTTATGTCATTTTCATCTTTTTCAAATATCGCGTCAGTTTTTAAGTATCGAGTATTCACACGCCGACTTGTGTTGTGTAGATTTTTGAAGTTATGAATTATATTTAGTATGTATCTTCTCAAATTTTGATAATTTAAAAAAAATTTTTTTTATTGATGTTGGGTTTTTTGTTTGTTTTTATGGTTAATGTTTCTAGGAGTTGTAGTCGTTGTTTACAGTTTATGTGCTGTAGTATTTTTGTGTTGTTGATAAGAATTTGCTTGATTACATATATGTACTTTATTATAAGTTAATTGCAATTGTTTGTTTTGGTTTCTGAGCTTGTAGCATAGCGTTTGCTCATCACAGCGTAAATTTTATTTTATTTATTTTTTCTCTGATATATCTGCGATCGGACAATATTGGGCGTACGTTGCTGTTTGACTCACAAAATAAAGACACAAAAATAACTTTCACTTTCACTTCCAGTAAATTATTAAAATAACAATAAATAGTAACAAATTTAAGCTCTGGGTTATTTAATACCGAAATATTTTGAACGCAACTACATAGCTTCAACTATAGATAAAATATATCGTTAGTCGTTTCCCTATAAATATGTATCACT